ATTTTTAGTATTTGTTATTAGTGGTGCAAGGACTGATGCTGTTTTTTCTGACCATTGGTATTCTGTATATTATTTTTTTAATCTTTTGGACTTTTTAGAATTTTTATTTGTAGTGTTCTAAAATTTAAGAGCCATGTGTTTTGTTATAGGCATTTCTCACTCATTTCATTGTATACTTAATAGGCATTTAATCTGCCATATTATATTCTTGAAAGTTTTGGTTCTGGAAAGTTTTTCTTGTGTTCATCTTTTGGTCACTTTTGCCCAATTTTTTTTCTACTTTTTAAAAATTTATTTATTTTGAATACCCATCCCTCCACCAGTGCCCATTTCCCACCACCACGGATCCCAATATCCCTCCCACCCCCATCGCCCCCCATCCCACCCTGCCTTTGTGGCAGGGCATTCCCCTCTGTTCTTTCTCTCCTTTTGGGTGTTGTGGTTTGCAAAAGAGTTAAGCCGGATTTTCAGGGAGAAACATTGGATGATTTACTTTCCATTGGTCACTTTATGTATAAGGAGATGCCTGGTGCCCGCATGCCAGAGCTGTGCTTGTAGAGGCTCATGGTCACTGGGGTTCCATCTGGAGAAGGCGGGATGCAGCACCTACCCCATCTGGGACCTCCCGGTGATATCAGCTCTGTTTGGAACATGGAGCATTCTCCGGAAGCTGTGGGGCCCTCCAGCCGGTTTTCTTCTTTGTTGCTGTGTGCTGTAAGATGGCACTGGGGGGCTCACTTTTTCCCAATTTTTAAAAACTTTTTAATAAATTTGAGACACAATGAGTTACAGTACTGTCAGGGATAGTGTGTCAGTGACCACCAGAGCTCAGCTTCTCTCCATCATTGTCTTAGTGTCACCCTCCTCTATAACCCTTGTCTTCTATCTTCATTGTCATTGCTATCATCATCACACCTCCATGTCCCACCCTTGGCATGGTAAACTCTGTTCAGTAGACTTGAGCTTATACAACTGTAGTGCAGTTAAAAAAAAAGGGGGGGGTCTGGAGTGATAGAACAGCAGGTAGGGCGTTTGCCTTGCACATGGCCGACCTGGGTTCAATTACCAGCATCCCATATGGTCCCCTGAGCACCACCAGGAGTAATTCCTGAGTGCAAAGCCAGGAGTAAACCCTGTGCATCGCTGGGTGTGAACTAAAAAGCAAAAAAAAAAAAAAAAAAAAAAAAAACTGGAGTGCAGTTTTATATGACCACTTTTTTCTGTAATAATTTTTTATTGGAATATTGTGTCTCAGTCTGAATCTTAGATTCTCTTCACTTAATCACTTAATCACTTAACTTCCCGTTAGTCGTCGATTTGCTCGAGCGGGCGCCAGTAACGTCTCCATTTGTCCCTGTCGCGTGCTAGTGTAGCCCAATGGCATCTCTTCGCTCCGGGAACATGGAGGGCCTCAAACCGATCGTTCATGATCTTGATTCTCTTAGAATTTTAGATTCTCTTAGAATTTTTAAATAAACTTTTATCTTTCTGGAGATTTTTCTTTTCAAGCTTTTTTTTTCCTTAAAATTTCCCCCACCTTTCTTGTCTCAATGCTTAAATATATTCTAGTTATTCACTTTTTTTTTTTTTTTTTGGTTCATGCCTGACAATGCTCAGGGGTTGCTCTTGGCTGTGCACTCAGGAATCACTCTTGACAGTGTTAGGGGACCATATAGGATGCTGAGGATCGAACCCACATCAGTCACATGCAGGGCAAATGCCCTACCCCCTGTACTATCACTCCAGTCCAATTGCTGCCTTTTTTTTAATAGTGTTTTGTTCTCACTCCATGGTTGTAAGCTCTACCCTCATTTCACCAAAAATATGTGCAAAATTGTTTTTGAAGCACCATTCATTTTACCCTAGAGTTCTTTTCTCTTTCTATTGTTTATTTACTTTCATATTAGACTTTCCTTAGCTATCTAATGAACCTTAACTGTATGTTCAAGTAAAAAGAGATGTACAAAAAACTTGATGGAAATTTTGTGTGCATAAATTGATCAGTGGACTTCATGGTAGGATGATAGCATAACAGGCTGAAATTTTATTGTGGACCCTCTTTCCCAAATGAAATAAATGTGCCTGTCTAGAGATGTCCTGAAAGAAGGACAGATAAAGGAATCTGGTTTCAGTCACTAACTCGTTTCATTATGCTAACTTTTTTCTCTTTTTGTGTCACACCCAGCAATGCTCAGGGGTTACACCTGTCTGCACTCGGGAATTACTCCTGCCAAACACCCTACCTGCTCCAAACCCCCTCCCCGCATTGTGCCAACTTCTTGGTCCTCTTGTTCACTAAGAGAATAAACCCTAGGAGAGCTAGGTGGAAAAAAGCAGAAATATGATAGTTGCTTGGCTGCCTGGGTAGGAGATAGAGTCCCATAGAGGTTGAAGAGGTAAATATAAACTTTTGGCAAGCCTTTTTCTTTTAAACCTTGTACTCTCTATAATATCTAAGTCTCCAACTGCTAAGCCTTCTCAGTGTTCAGCAAATCAATCAGACTTGCTTTTCATTGGCTTTCACTACTCCAGAATCCAGGTGCTAGTTTTCTCTTCTAAATCACTTTCCCTTCCTTCAGTTTTAACCACTTTCCATGAATGATTGAAATAGCACCGCTACTATTGTCTTCTATCCTAGATTATTGGTCCTTATTTCAATTTCCTTTATTTTTAGGCTAGCTAGTAATATTTTTGAGACTGATTTTCAGTGTCTGTCCAGAAGAATCTTAAAGGATATAATTTTTTTTTTAACAATTTAAGGAACTGAAACCATGTCCCAATCTCTTTACTCAGACCCTTACTTTTTTTCCTGGCTCACCTTTCTTCCTTCTCTCTCTCTCTCTCTCTCTCTCTCTCTCTCTCTCTCTCTCTCTCTCTCTCTCATTTTTTTTGAAATATAATTGCTCTGAATTTCTAGACTACATATTTAGACTTCCTATTTAAAATTACTATGTTTCATATAAAAAAACATTATTTATAAATTGTCAAAGACTTTACTATTGAAATCAGTTCCCAAATATAGTTGGCCTGGCCTGATCCTTTCACATCTTACCTAGTCTCTGGGGTAACATCAGCATTCATAAGACAGATATCTGAGCTTTAGAATTTTGAATTCTATTTATTTGCATTTCTTAATAAAGCAGTTACCTCTCTGGAAGTTGACATAAAGTTGGCTTCTTTATTAGCACCGTACCTTAACCAATTAATAAGACTTCTCCCAGAAAATAAATATCATACTGCATTTCCTTTAGGATGATCTAAGAAGTTTAACCCAGCCTTTAAATCTGATGTAGTATCTTGACTAAAGCCATTCATCAGGCATGTTTATTTTTTTCCTATGCATGATTCAGAATTACGTTTTTATTTTTTCTTCCAGAATTGGAAAATCCATAGCCTTATGATTGAGCTCATTTCCAGATTAATTTCTGTCGAGCTTGAGTTAATTGGCTTTGTAAACCTAGTATAAATTCAACCCTGCTTGGAGAACATACTCAGAAGAGTACCACCAGCTATGAAATAAGAAAATGGAATAGGTTTCAACATTTGTTTCCCTAGTACCTAGATATTGGTGACAAGATACTTAAGTATGCCTTGAGGGATCTGCTAATGGTCTCCAGGCCCTTGCCTTAGGAGCATGAAATGAATGTTGGCCTAGTCTAAAATTGGATTCTTATGACCATTTGGCAGGTTCTATGATATATTAGTGGCCTTGGCCCAGTTTCTCATTGGCATGTACCAGCATCAAGTTGGCATGTATCTGCATCCACAAGACAGCTTAGCTTTCTAAATAGGAGAGGTCATAATACCTCTTTTTAACTATGATGCAATTCCTCTTTGTAGGCTTTTTGTTTTTAACTGAGAAGAAGCTAAATTTTAGGATTTCCATTTTACTTCAATCCTGAACCTTTTGAATTTATTTCTCTATAAACGGAAACATCATCTGAAATGACTGGTCCTGGCCTTAAGTCTTGAAGAAATTATGCAGCTTTCTGTCTATCTCTCTCTGGCTTTAGGCCACAGGCTTCTTAATCTGTAGGCAGTCTGCAAGGCTTTAGTAGGAATCTTCATCTGTAATCATTTTAAACAGACAGTGGAGACAAGATTGTTTTAGTTAGCTTACCAGTTTGAACTGACTGCTACTCTCTGGTTGGAATGGAAACTAAGGAAAACTCAGAATAAGTTTTTGCTTGCATTTTTATCTTACTTGGTAACTTGTTTGAAAATGTTGCATAAAAGATCCAGCACAGGAAACATTTTATATTCCTGCTTATGATTAACAAACATGGAATCTGCAGCATTCTACTTTATAAATCAAGGTCATAGTCCAAATTTCCTGTTTTTCTACATTAAAATAAAACTTGAGTGTAAAAATAGCTACAAAATATATAGGGTACTCGGGGTCAAGACAACAGGCAAAATCAATTAGGGGATCATGATGCTGAAACTTTATGAAATCATCAGCAGAAACATTCATTTTGTTTTGTTAATATAGATAAGGCAAGTAGTGCAGCTGGTAATATAAAAATAGAAGTTAAAATACCCTACTTCTGATTTTCTATGCTGTTTGAGAAGAGGAAAGTAATAAATAATACAAAATAATAAACCAGTAACTTGGAAATAAAGGCCCACGTGTAATTGGTTCTTGGAAAACACCAGTCACACTGGTCAAAGACTTTCTTACCACATCTTAACTTTAATCACATTTACTATTGCCTGTGATTTACAAAGTTGACCACTGTCTTCTGTCTTTAATACACTGTACTACTACCCCAAATATACACTTACTCACACTTTTTGACCTTTGTCCTAAATTTTGTACACTTTCTCAGATTCTCATATCCTGATCCTTTGGATAATTGCTTAAAGTGGGTCTCCCAGCTCGCTCTGTTGGCAGAATATTCCTAACTCTGAAGAATATATGTATAGACAAAAAGTATTTAGGAATTCGTTCCTTTTTCATCATGCTAAAATTAAAGTTGTCCAATTTATGTGTCTTTTAGCCTAAAGAATGTTTCTTGATACCACCAAAGGAATCAAAAGAGGCTACTACCAAGACCAAGAAGAGGAGAAAGGTAATTTTTATTTCTTCCAATGGTATGACTCCATATGGTTTCTATCACACTTTTATTCGAGATGCAGAAGGGGTAAGATTCAGTGAGGTGTAGTGACTTTTCTAAGGTCACTAGTAATCAATGTCCCTAGTGGAGCTGACAATAACATTTCCCGACTCCTGTTTCAGGGCACCAAACATCTTTGTGACCCATGCTCTGTGCTCATTGTGGCTCGAAGTCAGACATGAGTTTCTGATTCCAAACATTTCCTGAAACCCTCTTGCCGTCTGGTCCTTCTGACCCTGCTAAGAAGTTGCCAATCTCCTTTTCTTACTCATTGAAAATTTAAAAGCCTTATCTTAGAATAGTCATAAAAAGGGAAGTAATAAGCAGGTAAAAGTGGTGGAAGGCAATTTCTGACTTCAACTTGGAACTCAAATTTAATTTTGCCTGTGAGCATATGGAAGACTCTTTGTTCCTTCGTAAACTTCCATAAGGCTCGACGTTGGAGAAAATATGGTTGGCTTTGACCTTCTGCCACAGTTGTGAAAACAGCAGTATAATTCTCTCCCTGCCAAAAGGGGTCTACTGCTAAAGTCAGCAGAGAAAATATGATTAGAATTAGAGGAAAGAAGATGGACTCAAACCAATTACTGAACAGCAAGCTTTTAGAAAACTGAGAGTGTATTTGCATGCATATGTTTTCTTTGCTCACCAATGGCCAAATAGGAAGATGGGAGATGCCAAATTGGCTGAGGTTTGGCAAGTCCTTAAAGAAGTGATTTTAACTTCTCTTTGATAGTTTGTACACTAATGGCCTTCAGGAGTGTTAAGTTCTTGGTGGCTGAAGGTCAAAACTCTAGCCAGTTTAGCCTTGGCTGAGGTCATGCTAAAATGTGCCCACTGATGACATAATTCTAAAAGTTAATTCATTTGACAGAACTTTGACCATTCTTGGCAGTGATATAGAAATGAGAATATCATGGAAAGAGGAAAAAAATCAGGGGGGAATGGGGGCAGGAAATAACTCTTTCTGAATCTTTAGTGAAACATGAGAAGGAAATGAGAATGGAAGTTTATGATGAAAACTAAATGGATGATTGTATGTTGCTTGTACATTGCAGGCACTCAGTAAATGCTACACAAATGAGTCCAAACCAACATCGGCACTGTAGAGTACTTCTGGTTCTACTTTTATAATATCACTCAAGATTGTCTCTCCCAAGACTTGAGAATTAGACTTGAGAATCGAGACTCTAAATATCCTTGTGCAGTGGGCTTCTCAGCTTACATTATTCCCGAAAATTTTACTTTAATCCTGGAAATGTAAATTTCTGGTAATTTTACTTTAATCCTGGAAATGTAAATTTCTGGTGAAAAGTGAGATGTAGTACCTTCAAAACTAAAATAAGCAAGGAAATCTCAAAATTCTACTTCCATTAACACAAATTGTCTAAGGCTTAAAAAGAGGCTTCCACAACAACAAGGTTTATTGACTTTTTTTTTTTTCCTTTTTGGGTCACACCTGGTGATGCACAGGGGTTTCTCCTGGCTCTGCACTCAGGAGTTACTCCTGGCGGTGCTCAGGGGACCATATGGGATGCTGGGAATAGAACCCGGGTTGGCCACGTGCAAGGCAAACGCCCTACCCGCTGTGCTATCTCTCCAGCCCTGGTTTATTGACTTTTAACAGACAGTAATACCTTTCTATGGAGGCTTCTGAAAAATGTTTATTTACACAAAGAACCATAAGAAGCTATTTAAAACATCCATTTATTTTTGAAGCAATACAGGCATAACTTAAAAATACTTCAAGTTTAGCCACAGATAACCACAATAAAGAAAATATCACAATAAAGCAAATCTCCAGTGCATATAAAATTTATGCATTATACCATACTCCAGTTTATTAAGTGTGCTATATCATTATGTCAAAAAAGTGTACATACCTTAATATAAAAATTAAGAGTATTAAAGATAGGAGTTAGGGGCATAAAGCTTTCATGCTAACGACCCTAGTTAAGACCCTCTCAACACCACAGAGCCTCCCAAGCACTGCTGACCAAGTACTGCTATTGACTAGACTGGTCTGTGGGACCCCTGGAGTACTGTCTCCAAAAATACTTCATTGCTTCAAGATAACTAGGCATTATCTGAACCTTCTAAAAGTCATAATCTTTTTGACTAGAAGAAGGTCTTATTAAATATGCAGTAGCCTAGGACACCCAACTTAATGAGAGAGAATAGTCATACTCAACACATCAGATAAAGGGTTAATATCTAAGATCTATAAAATATTCACAAAGATAAATAACATCAAGAAAATGGAAATGGATCAAGAAAATGGATATTGGAAATGAGTTGACACTTTCTGAAGAAGACAGATGGCCAGTAGATATACAGGAAAGTACACATCATCACTTATTATCACAGAAATCCAAATCATCAGAACAGTGAGATATCATCTCACACCAGTCAAAAAAAAAAAAATGAACATTCTATGTTGGTGTGGAGGTGGTGAAAAAGTAACTCTCCTTCACTGCTGGTGGGAATGTTGTCTGATTCAACCTCTATGAAAAAACAGTATAGAGAATTCTCAGAAAAGTAAGAATAGAACTGCCATAGACTCAACAATCCTCTTCTTGATATTTACCACCAGGACATAAAAGCATTCATTCAGAAAGACATATGCACACTAAGCACAATAGCTAGGATATGGAATCAACCTAGGTATCGAAGAACAAATGAGTGGTTAATGAAGGTGTGGTTCACATAGAATTCCTGTGTACAGTGGAATTCTCTGTTGCTGCAAGGAACAAGAAAATCATGCAATTCGATGCAACTTGGATGTAACTACAGGATATCATGTTCAGTGAAGTGAGTCACAAGAACAAATACCAGATAGTCTCACTTTCTTCGGTATTTAGAATAACAGGATGAGGGGACGCAAGTTAACGAAGGGGCTATCCAGATTATCCCTGGCCCTAGATTTTAGAAATGAGGATGTGGAAAGGAAAAACTTCGGGGATAGGGAATAAGAATAGGAAGACAAGAGATAATAGAGGCCCTACATCAGGGCCTCGGGTGTGTCCATGGTGTGGAGATGTAGATATATTTAAGGAGGAACAACGCTGTGTAAGCATGAGAGTCAAACTGCAACAACAAAACTTAAAAATGTGTTGGTCAAGGAGGCAGGCTTGGAGATGGGAAGGAACTTGGGGACATTGGTGGATAGAAGTTGACACCAATAATGGGATTGTCATTCAAACACTGTATGCTTCAGCTATGAATAACTGCAAATCATGGTGCCTTAATAAAAAAAAATATTTAATGCAATAATGTGAGAGATGATAAAATAAGTTCTGCCTGTAGTTATATCTAGAAAGTATTTATGATGTTCTTAAGTATTAATAATCACTGTCATGCTCGATTATTATGAAAATCTATAACAAGTAACCAACATATCCTAAGCCTAATTACATTCTAAAAATCTCTAATTTGACTCCCTTTTCATATCTTAGAAGAAAATTACTGATATTCTTGCAAAATCAGAGCCTAAACCAGGGACACCTGAAGACCTCCAGAAGCTGATGAAGGACTATTACAGCAGCAAGCGTTCAGTGATTGAACTCGAAGAACTAACATTACCAGGTACAGCCAGAACTTTACTTTTCTTCCCACCCACCCCACCTTCTAGCCCCCCATCTAGTCTGAGGCGAATCCTTTTGCAGAATATATTGCTTAATTGATAGGACGTTTCCTGATGAGGAGGTACAAAACACCTATATAGTTGTATGTTATGGCTAGACATCTCAGTTAGTATGTGAATACATTTTCCACATGCTAGTATGCTTTTCCTCAACTCAGTACTTTTAGCAATATAACAATTTTTACAGTGAATGATACCTGTTCGATTAATAGCAAAATGTGTAATTGCATCTGTTTTTCACAGCGGGTAGAGGTTTGCCTTGCACACAGCCGACCTGGGTTCGGCTCTGTCCCTCTCAGAGAGCCCGGCAAACTACCGAGAGTATCCCACCCACACGGCAGAGCCTGGAAAGCTCCCTGTGGCGCATTCGATAGGCCAACAACAGTAACAAATCTCACAATGGTGACGTTACTGGTTCCCGCTCGAGCAAATCGATGAACAGTGGGAGGACAGTGCTACAGTACGGTGCTATTCAAAAGACGTATTATTCAGTGTGGACTTTTAGCATATTTTTCAGGAAGCACATAGTGTCTCTGATCAAGATAGAAGTTAAAGTGCACATTTAAATATATACCCTGGGGGGAGCCACGATGATAGCCCAGTGGACTGGAGCACATGCGCAAGAGCCCTTAGTACAGTCCTCAGCATTGTATAGTTCCCCCCTCCCCAGCCCCCAAGAACTCCTGGAAGCAGCGAAACAGCCCCCAAACTGGTGTTACAGCAGAGCTATTTTCAAGGTGTGATGGAAGTTTGGGATTTCCTGGGACTGGGTGGTCACTTTTCCCTTCCAGTTCGTTCTGTGGGATTTGAAGAGTATTGGGAATATTGCTACTCTATGAGCTTGTGAACATCCTAACTCTCAGGATTCTCTAAAACTGTTGAGTCAGAGGTCAAAAGAAATCTTCCAAGGAGTCATTCCCGGTTCCACAATGAGTTACATTAGAGTGTGACTGCATTCAAGGTCAGTAACACAGTCAGGGAAGTTGTGTGCTTTGGGTTTGGTTTAGGGAAGAAGGAAGGCATGGAAAAATACCACCAGAGGGGGGTGGGGAACAGGTTTTCATTTGCAGTCAAGAAAGTAAGACCAGGCATTGCCCAAAAGCAGAGATAGACAGAGAGCTGAAAAGTTCTGACATAGAAGCAGGGGCAGGCAAGGGGAGTGTGGTAGGTGGTGATGGGAGGGAAACTGGGGACACTATCACTATCATCCCCTTGTTCACCGATTCGCTTGAGCGGGCCCAGTAACGTCTCCATTCGTCCCTGTGATGTGCTAGTGTAGCCCAATGACATATTGGGGGCTCCTTTCAGGATCAGGGGAATGAGGACCACTCGTTGTTACTGTTTTTGACATATCGAATACACCACGGTTAGCTTGTCAGGCTCTGCCCTGTGGGCGGGATACTCTCAGTAGCTTGCTGGGCACTCCGAGAGGGATGGAAGCTTTTGGGGCAGCCTCTAATCACCTCTACAGGTGTGCCTAGTCAGGCCCATTGGCGGGTATGATACTCTCAGTAGCCTGTCGGGTTCTCTGACAGTGAGAATAAGTATTCGTGGCCGCATGCTTCCAGAAGCTTGGTTTTAGTCTCTGGATCCTGGCCGTTGATGGGGTTACACGGCACTTGGTGGGTGTAACTGCCTAGCTACTGGAAAGTGGGGGAGCTGGGTGGAGGAGGCCCAGTCCCGAACCGAGCAGGCTTGGAGATCTCAGCCCCGGGTCCCGCACACCTGGGTTCCTCTGCTGGTTCCTCATCCAAGCGTGTGGAGAGTGGTCTCAGCATGGCTTTGGCAGGGTCCCAGAGGTCTTAAGGGGCCTCCTCCAAGGGGCCCCAGTGAAGACAGCCAGGCGCGGGGGCAGGAGACTCTGGGGACACTGATGGTGGAAAATGTATGCTGGTGGAGGAATAGATGTTGGAACACTATGACTGAAACCTAATCATGAATCGCTTTGGGTCTATATCACAGTGATGCAATAAAAAAATCTTAAAAAGTAAAACAGAAAGAAAAGAAAGTAGGACCAAGAGATGGGATATTGCTCAGCAATAGAGCACATGCCTTCATGTGTAAGGCTCTGGGTTTGATTCTGGCACCAAAAAAGAAAAGCTATCCTAAAACATAGTAAACTAAGCTCTTGTGAAGTCGTAAGGAGGAAAGCCCATCACTACACTGATGAAACCAGACACAAAGGCATTCCTTGCCGGGTGAGAAGAGGGCCACTTCATGACTTATTTGAACATGTGCAAGAAGGTACCTAAGTATAAGGTATATGTAACAGAATATTATTCCTATGGAGTTTACTAAGTTGGTTTTGATTTAAGGTTGTTTGTGTCTGTGGGGCAAGAACATGTCTTTTCAATTAATATTGTGCACTGTGCATTGTTAATGTCATAACACATGGGCATTTAATTAGAGTTTGGGGGCAGGAGTTGCTTGGAGCCAACTCAGCTGTGCTCTAGCGAGTGGTAGTGTGGTTTAAATCATACTGAATGCCTGTGGGCTGGCTGCAGCAGAATCACCCAGGAACTTGGAAAGCAGATTCCCAGGCCCACCCTCAGGAGTTCTGACTCATTTCTCAGAAGGAAGGCCATCCGGGAATCTGTATCTTTGCTATAAGTTTCCAAGTGAGTGTAATTATATACAGACTTGGGAAATTACAAGTCATAAAGACCATCAAAGGTTCCACAACAGCATTGAAGGCAACATCTTTGAAGTTATTCATATAATGTGAGCTGTACATGCTGGATCACTATATATATTTCATTTAATTTCATGATACTTTTATCCTAGCACTCTGTTGTGTTTATCACTAAACTTCCTCATAGAGAGAGAATTAGAATGATAGTGGTTTTATTTATTTATTTATTTATTTTAATTTATTTACTTATTGAATCACTGTGAGAAAAGTTACAAAGCTTTCAGGTTTAGGTCTCAGTCATGCAAATATCAAACACATTTCCCTTTACCAATACTTATTTTTTACCACGAACCCCAATAAAACCCCACCTCCCACCCCTCCCAATGCCTGTAAGGCAGATGAGTTCTAGTTAACACTCTATCTACTTTGACTAGATTCATTGTTTTGATAAAAGATGCACCATTATTATTTAGAGTTTACCGCCCCCCCCCAAATCAGACATGATGAAAAAGCGCTGTGAAATGATTTGCTTTCTACAGCTAGGTTCAAGAATTAAATGTAATAGCGGCCACGCGGTTTTGGATTTCTGCTATTTTACTTATTAGCCCTGGAAGTATTTCTACTAAAAGTCAGATAATTAAGAGATTGGTTTCTGTGCTCTGGAGTCGTGGCCGTGCCGGAGAGCCGCTCGTGGGGGGCAACTGGTGACCTCGGTAGGGCATGAAGGACGGGCCGGAACGCCCCCCTTCCCTTGAGGTTTTCGTCACCCCCAGACCCCCAGCTCATACCTGCTGTCCACAAGGCTCCCATGCGGCCGCCATCTTTCCAGAGAGGAGAAGGCGAATGGGGCAACACCCTTTCCCCTCCGGGCAGGCATGATGGCGCGGATTAAGGCATAGTCCGTTCGCTTTTCTGCTCCAAGCTGCTGGTTTTCTGCATTAAGTCCTTGTGCTTCTGGGGCCGTGGCCGTGCCGGAGAGCCGCTCGTGGGGGGCAACTTTGCCCTCTCCTCTCTGGAAAGAAAGATGGCGGCCACATGGGAGCCTTGTGGACAGCAAGTATGAGCCGGGGGTCTAGGGGCGACGAAAACCTCATGGGAAGGGGGGCGTTCCGGCCCGTCCTTCACGCCCTACCGTGGTTTTATTTTTTAATACATTTTCAGGCTCCTAAAATGACAATTCTTACACCATGGTTCTCATTGACTGAGCAAGATACCTGATTTGATTAAAATAATTTATATAATCTTTATTGTGTCATTCTAATGAGTTATATTTTATTTTGATCCATTATTTCTACTCTTACCAACCCACGTTCCAATTTCCTTTCCACACAGGTATTCACTCTAATGTGTTAATATACTGGAATTTTTTTTTCAATCGCCCTGATTTGCAATACTGTTGATGATGAGGTTTCATGTATACTATGTTCCAGCACCATATCCTCCATCACAGTTCCTCCACCCCCAATACACATTTGAAACATGTATTTATTCTTGTAAAATGTCATGATGCTATGTGTATACAATTTACCATTGATTAATATACATTTTTGATGACTAGTGAGTTTGAACATTTCTACATACATTTGCCTTTATAAATTGCTTATTCCATACATTTGAAAAATAAAGATGTTCATGGGACTGGGAGATAGCTCAAAGGGCTGGAATACAACATGTCTTGTGTGCATTAGACAGTGAGTTCAATGGAATGGCACATCATGTCATGGTATGTCACCCAGCCCCACTAAGCCCCCTAAAGTAGACCTGCTGGTCCCCAGCACCACAAGGCCTGAACATTGAACCAAGACCCCTAAAAAACTACTTGAAAGGCCCCTCAAAATCATGCAAGCTTTTTCACTACTCTAAGACATTATAAATAATATTTACCTGTTGCTAATACTGCTATTTTGCTTGATTGTCTTTTTTGTGGTGCCAGGGATCAGTTCAAAGTTTCATATATGTTAGACATTTGCTGTACCACTACCACTGAACTGCATCCTGGCCATCAGCAGCTGCTGTTTTAAATAAGATAGCACTTTAAGATATTTAATAAGCTCCAAATCATTAATGTTTTACAAACTTGTTCAAGAATACACAGTTCACATTTAATCTACTTTGATAATTATAAGGTAAAGTAAGGTAAAGGCTCTCCCATTGGTCATCGATTTGCTCGAGCGGGCCCAGTAACATCTCCATTAGAGACTTTGTTGTTACTGTGTCTGGCATATCGAATACATCACGGGGAGCTTGCCAGGCTCTGCCGTGCAGGCGAGATACTCTCGGTAGCTTGCCGGGCTCTCCGAGAGGGGCGGAGGAATCGAACTCGGGTCGGCCATGTTGGCTGCATGCAAGGCAAATGCCCTACCGCTGTGCTATGTATTTGTAAAATTCGTCACAAGACATGTTTTTCAAAAAAGCATGTTTTCAAATTTCTAGATTGCTGCTTCCTCAAGGCGAATGATTTGACTCATAGTCTCTCATCTTACTTAAAAGAAAGTAAGTAAATCCAGAATTTTTTCAATTATTTAACTTGTTAATCCATTAAAATATAAGGTATTTAAAGTAAAAACATTTAAACTACCTTTAATATCAAAAGTGTAAACCTTTTGTGAGTTTTAAATGTCGGTGTTTAAGCTTCATCTTTATTTCTATTTATTGATTTAAATTGTTTTGCCTTGACGTTGGGGAATTTGAGTTTGGGCCTCATTCTTATTTTATAACATATATAAATATTTGTCCAGGAATTCATAAACTAAGTATTGTGCTAGTTCCAAGTCTCTCTACAGGGACAGGGACAGGGATGACTCTCTGGGACTTGATTTTGTGAGTTGAAAGACAATGAAGTTGAACTATGTGATCTCTCTTCAAGTTATGAGATTTAGTAATTCTGTTCATATGTTCAGTTTATCTTTTCAGTATGAGTTCTGTAGAGCTAGTAAAACTAGGTTATTAATACTGAATATTTATTTGTTGCCAATAATAAAACAGTTGAAGTATAGAGACTTAGCTTTTCTTTTTCAAACTCTAAAGAATTCTGACAACATCCAACCTGAGTTCACAAACCTTTCTCAACCCTTAATCCAGCAAACACAAAAAATGAGGGAGTCAATCTCACCAGATGATAAACTTAAAAAAAAAAGAGAAGGTATATAAGTGCGTAGAATAATTGTCACTGTTTAACAAATTCTTGCTCTTATTTAGATGTCATTTCTGTTTTATATTTTCTACAATGTCCTTTTAAATATTCACAGTGTTGAATCAGTGTTTTTTACTGATTTAGTCAACATTACCTTCGATCATCAAATATAAAATATTGAAAATATATTGTTGAAACCCTTGTATTAAAATCCTAATAGTCACATTGCTATTGGCATACTGTGTCTTCTGCTGCAAGTTAATATTTCATCTTAAATCTAAGATCCAAAATAGCCAGAGAATAGTGTCTAAACACTATTCTAAACCTGTTCGTTGTATTTTATTTTACTGAATACAAACAAGTGAAAAAAGAAAACAGAGGAAGAATACCCAACTTTGGAGCATGCTATTTTGCTGTTTTTAGAGTAATCTTTGCTTTTTATGTTCTTTTTTTCCCCCCCAGTCTGCCCTAAGTGGGTAAAACTTCGGAAAAACCATAGTGAGAAGAAATCCGTCGTGATGCTGGTGATCTGCAGCTCTGCTGTCAGGGCTCTGGAGCTCATTAGGTTGGAACCGCCACCTATTCAGTTTCATCAAGACTTTCTTAATAACTACCATGTGCCAAGATGATATGCTCACATCCTGTATACGTAGCAATGAACAAACTGAATCTCCTCCCTCGTATAACTTGCTTTCTAGTAAAGGCAGCAGATGGTGTCAGGTCAACCAGAAACAAAAAAGCATAGCAAAAGAATAGAATTGGATAGGGACAACTTTTGAGGATGGAGATAGGGCTTCAACATAGTTTCTTTGTCGAGGGGGGGGTCACAATTCAATCCATAATACAGAAAAAAGAGAAAGTGAGTATAGTACCATGCTATGTGACTTTAAACACTTTCATAACAATATTTTAATGAGGCATGAGGGACCCTGGAAACTTCTCCATGGTAATGATATTTGATCAGAGACTTGAAAAAGTGAAGGATACAATTGAACAAATACATGGAAAAAAGAGCTTCAGACGGAGGGGACGCTAAGTGCAGAAGGCCATGAGAATGGGTGCCTTTAGAGGATTTTATTTTTGTTTTTGTTTTTATTTTTCTCCTTTTTGAGTCACACCCGGCAATGCACAGGAGTTACTCCTGGCTCATGCACTCAAGAATCACTCCTGGTGTTGCTCAGGGAACCATATGGGAATGCTGGGAATCGAACCCAGGTCGGCCTCATGCAAGGCAAACGTCCTAGCCACTGTGCTATCACTCTAGCCCCAACCCTTGGAGGATTTTAGCAGAGGAGTCAGTCACATCAGTTGAGCAATCATTCTAAAGGATCATTTGGTTTCTCTGTGGCGAATACACATTGCCAAGAGTAAGGGTGAAGCAGGAGAACATAAGAGCAATAACCAGTTAGGAGTGAAAATAGGGTCTTTCTCTTCCAAGCCCATGCTCTTTCTTACACATGTATTTCTCTCTTCTGTTTTTTCCACTCAGGAGAATCACTCTCTTTCTCTCCCCCTGACATCTTTCTAAGTAAAACTTCTTTCAATGAAAACTCTTGTTTCACAAAAAAAAAAAAAAGAAATCACCATCACGATCATCCTGCTGTTCGTCAATTGTCTCGAGCAGGCACCAGTAATGTCTCCTTCGTCCTAGCCCTGAGATTCTAAACAGTGCGACATTCAAGGCTCTTTCAGGGTTAAGAGAATGAGACCCATCATTGTTATTGGTATTTGGCATATTGGGTACGCCACGGGAAGTTTGCCACACTCTACCGTGTGGGCAGGTTACGTTTGGTAGCCTGCCAGGTTGTCCAAAGCAAGAATGAGATAATAAGATGTCACGCGGCCGCAAATGCGGCCACGTGCTTCCAGGAGCTGGGTTTTTATTGAAAAAGAGTAAAAAAGAGTTTTTATAAAAAAGAGTAAAAGTGGGGTTGGTGGTGAAGGAAGGGTGAATATCTAAAGGAACAGGGGCCAGAAAGATGGAACAAGGTGCAAAGCACTTTCCTTCCCTGTGGCTGATCCCGCTTCAATCCCCTGCATTACATCTGGTCTCCTGAACATAGAGACAGGAATAAACCTGAGCACCATGGGGTATGGCCAGAAATGTCCCTCCCCCCCAAAAAAAAGAAAATAATAGAAACTTAAAGAAAATAATAACCAGAAAAGATAGACTATGAAGACATAAGTTTGCCAAAGCCTATATGAAGAAAATATGACATAAGAGTTGCAAAAGATCATGATCAAGCAAAAAATATATATACCAAGTTCTTGTATAGAAAGACTCAATATTGTAAAGTTATCTGCTTTATCTAAGATTATCTGTAAATTTCAGAGGTTTACGGTAAAAATTCATTAGACTTGTTTTTCAAACTTGATTAAATAGAGGTTAATATGAAAAAAACAGAAGAAATGTAGCCAGGGAAATTTTTTTTAAATTTTTTTGTTAGTGAAACACCATGAGGTACAGTTATAGACTTATAAATTTTTGTGCTTGGGTTTCAGTTATACAATGATCAAGTACCCATCCCTCCACCAGTGCCCATCCTCCACCACCATGGGTCCCAGCGTCCCCCCACCCCCCATCCCCCCTGCCTCTGTGGCAGGGCATTCCCCCTTGTTCTCTCTCTCTTCTTTTGGGTACTGTGTTTTGCAAGAGAGGCATTGAGTTAGCTAGGAAAATTTTTGAAATGAATATTAATGAGTAGATACTATGTCTGTAGTATTATCAGATTACAAAAAAAATCTTGTTTATATATACACATGTATATAAAATTTGACTTTATATACATTGTATATTTTCTATTTTTAATGTATGTATTATATATAATACATATATGTGTGTTACAAATTGTTCATAATTAAGAACAGTTTGGAACTGGTATATGCATGTCATATCAGCAGTGAAACAAAGTTTTACTGCTTTCTTTAAACGTATTTGCATTTGACATTATAGCCTGCAATGAAGGTGACAAATCATTAAGCAAAGGTGGATTATTCAGTGAATGGTAGTGGAACAAATGGAAATAGGTAACTCTGGAAAACCAAAATTGAATTTGTTTCTCATCTCTTATACCAAGATAAATTCCATTTATATACTGAAATTTTGAATGTGAAAATTATGTTTTAAAGGAAACGCATTAGTGTTTACCTAATTACTTTCACATATTTTATCACTTGCTATGCATTTTATAGAATCAACAAAAAAGGCTCCCACAAACGGTTTAGCAGTAACATTCACCTTTCAGCGGTTACATTCATCTTTTTAATGCCATAATAGTATAATGGCATTTACTAGTACTAGCTCACTCCCAAGCCCTGGCCATGCTTTGACAGGAGATGAAGCAAAAGAAATCCAACTCCTCAAGAAACTTGATCAAATAGACTAAGTTGCAAATATAGATGTTTGGTAGTTATTTAGCATCTTGTTTTTTAAATGAACAAACCTAAGCATGAATTTAGAAAATTAGATGTTCAGCTCTGTTAATAGCCCTTCAGACCCATCTTTTCCCAGAAGGTACACACATTAAATTTTATTACAAACTTTGTTTTTCCAACATTTTCATTTTAAATATAATTGAACTTTTTTAAAAAATATTTTTATTTTTTTATTTATTTTTTTTTTATTAGCGAAACACCATGAGGTACAGTTACAAACTTTTGTGACTTAGACTTACAAACTTTTGTGCTTGGGTTTCAGTTATACAATGATTGAGTACCCATCCCTCCACCAGTGCCCATTCTCCACTACCAATGAACCCAGTAGCCCTCCCACCCCCATCCCCCCCCTTCACCCTGCCCCACCTCTGTGTCAGGGCATTCCCTTTTGCTTTCTCTTTCCTTTAGGGTGTTGTGGTTTGCAATAGAGGTATTGAGTGGCCATCATGTTCGGTCTATAGTCTACTTGCAGCACACATCTCGCATCCCGAGCGAGTCCTCAATATAACTGACCTTTAAGACTCCAACTGCTTCTAAGCAGCTGTTCTTGCTAGTTCTGAAGTCATAGGGATTCACATCAACTTCTCAGCGTTTTAAAAACTATCATTAGGTGCTCATGTCAGATTCAAATGCTAGTAGCAAAGCGGTTGGCCTGGAGGTGGCCTCTTAAAAACAAGCTGTCAAGCTGACATGAGCTTTTCCTAAACATAAATGCCTTCTTGGAGGATATAAAAGCACCATGTTGTCATACTTGATTTGCCAGTTCTCAGGGTTCTTCTGTGCCCCTAGTAATATTGTGTTTTATTTCAAGGCAAAGTGATCTGCAGATGATTTTTTTCTTTCTTTTTTTTTTTAATTTATTTGGGGGTGAGGTGGGAACTATGCCCAGCAATGCTCAGGGCTTACTCATGGCTCTGCTCTCAGGAATTACTCCTGGAAGTGCATGAGGGACCATATAGGATGCCAGGGGGTGAACCTGGGTTGGCCACATGCAAGGCAAACACCCTGTCCACTGCACTATCTCTCCAGCCCCAGTGCAGATGATTTCTGATCAGGCACAAGTTTATTCAAAGACTAATGTGAGATAATTCTAACTTTCATAAGAAAAAATCTCTTCTCTCAAGAACCCTTTGACACAGAGGGTTGGGCATTTTGCCTTGCACACTGCTGACCTGAGTTCAGACACAGATTTGATCCTTGGCCTCTCATATGGTCCCCTGAGCCACTCCAGGAGTTACCCCAGAGCATGATCAGGTGTGGCCTCTAAACAAAAAACAAAAAGGAAAAGGAGGGCTGTACAGATAGTACAGTGGACAGGACGCTTGTCATGTATATGGTCACCTAAGCCCCACCAGGAGTGATCCCTGAGCACAGAGCCAGGAATATGTCCTGAGCACATCTGGGTGTGACCCAAACAAACAAAAACCAAAAAAAGATAGTAAGTACTATAATTATTTCAATAAAATAGAGTTCTAACCAAAAAAAAAGTGAGATAAAAATTTATATAATGATAAAAGGGTCAACGTAATAGGAAGACATGATGGTTATAAGTATTTATGAAATCCACATAGCAGCATTGAAATAAATGATATATGATATATGAATAAATAATTTACATGAAATAAGTCAGAAGAAGACAGTCTATGACTTCACTCTAGCGGTGTACAAAGAAAATAAACAAATAGATGAATTAAAAGAAACAAACTTGGGCTGGAGAGATAGCACAGCGGGTAGGGCGTTTGCCTTGCACGCGGCTGACCCGGGTTCGATTCCCATCATCCCATATGGTTCCCTGAGCACCGCCAGGAGTAATTCCTGAGTGCAGAGCCAGGAGTAACCCCTGTGCATCGCCGGGTGTGATCCAAAAAGCAAAAAAAGAAAAAAAAAACTTTTGGGCTATGAAACCAGTTAGTGGTTATGAGAAGGGAAGACTGGGAGCTTAAGAGTACGTTGGGGTCGAGGAGACAGTTGTATACAGAATGGAACTGGATCTTTAGTGGCAAATTTAATGTCATATATATGCTGATTTTCAGTGATACACGTTTGAAATTTATCTCATGTCATAATATAACATTCAAAAATCAAAAAGACTAAACAATCGCATATATATATGTACATATATATCATGTTTATTTATATCCTAAAGATTGGGAGCTGCTGTAATCGAAAGACATAGACTTCTCCCAGTCATCTCATTCTTGCTCCCACACACACCCACTTGCCCATGGCAGCCACGGACCTTTGTGAATATCCTTGCACCCCACAAGCACCACCTAACATTACTGCTTTAACATAACGTCACAACCAAATTTTATATTCGAATGAGAGCTATTTAGCGGAGTTTGGAGAAAAACTATCTGCCAGGTATCTGAAGTACAAAAAATCAGTATTATAAATGCAAGACAAAATCATACACTTCAGTTCTCAAGGAAATCTAAGTAAACTTAACCTTGAATTTAAAAATTAGAGGCTAACTTAGACTATATATATATACATATATATATATATATAATATGTTCAAGTTCATTCCAAAGATAGGCTAACCTGAAAACTTGAGGATTTTTTTTGTGTGTGTACATATATGCACATAAATGTGCATACGTATGCACATAAGTAATCAATTCTTTTGAGTAAATCAGTATGTAATACTAATTAACATGACTAGAATGAGTTTATATACTAATCTATTCCTTTTCTTTAGATCCATGACAGCATTCAGAGGAGACAGCAAAATAATAAAATTATTTGCAAAACACATAAAGGTATGGAAGGTCTCAATTCCTAGTGGGAGGAAGTATAGGGTTTAAGGGCCACATTGAACCTTTTTCCTTTCAGCCCCTTCTCCTTAGAGTCTTAGCATTTACTATACGTGTGTCAATGCCTCATTGTCCAACACTGAACAACCATTATGGTCTTCTACATTCTCCACCTCAATTGGAAATCTAATTCCACAGAAGTCACTATTCCTGCATGTTTTAAAATACCTGTACAGAAGCTAAGATTCTGAATTCTAGGGAAATAATGTTCTATCTTAACCTTAACATTTTTTAGCTTGGAAATTGATCCACAGCAAGTGTGGCCCCATTGCTTTTGACTTTCTTAGCAGCCTATAGATAAAATGCTCAAAATCGACCTAGGATCGTATTTTTTGTGACTCTTCTTTTCTTTCTGCCCTTTTATCTTGGAACAGGTCCAGGAACAAGTAAAATTGCTAGAGAAGCGTATCATGCACGTGGGGGTAGGAACTCCAGGAAGAATTAAAGAACTTGTTAAACAAGGTATGAAAAAGACAGTGATTCCCCTAACTACAACTGGGAGTTTGGGAAGCCGCACATATGAGGTACTGAAACCAGACCTCTGTGTTTATAAAGGAGGGTGAAAGAAAAGAAATCCTTAGTTCCAAAAGCCAGTCTGTAGGTCGAATGTAGTAGGGACTGACAGGAACAATTGCAAACTACAGTATGTAAATACACCACTAAATACACCCAAATTCCAATTGCTTTGATCAGGTTAGTAGTACCATTGCCTCACCTCCTTCCACAAGTTTGCTGTTTCTGGCAGATGTATTGCTTGAAGGGTTAAATTTTTTCCCCCTCTCACTTAATGAGTCTTCGTTCCTTTTCATTTCATTTTCATTTCATCATCCTGTTAATCGTCGATTGCCTCGAGCAGGCCCCAGTAACGTCTCTTTCATCCTAGCCCTGAGATTATATTCAGGGATCTTTAGGAGAATGAGACCCATCATTGTTACTGGTATTTGGCATATTTGGTAGGCCACGGGGAGTTTGCCAGACTCTGCCCTGTGGGCAGGCTACATTCGACAGCCTGCAAGTTTGTCCAAAGTAGGAATGAGATAATAAGATGTCGCGCGGCCGCGAATGCGGCCGCGCGGTTCCGGGATCTGGATTTTATAGTCTCTGAGTCTTGGCCGCTAATGGGATTACACGGCGCCAGGGGGCCAGGTGGTGGGTGTGACCCCCGCCTACTGGAATTTGGAGGATCTGGGTGGAAGATTCTCGACTCCAATTCGAGTAGGCTTGGAGGTCTCGGCCCCGGAACCCGCGTGGCTTTGTCCCTCTGCCAGTACCTTCAGATGTGCGGCAGCCGGAGACCTCCAGGACCAGCCACCACCATGCTGAGACCACTCTTCGTTCCTTAAGACTTGCATTTCAATTGAGGGGTAGTATATAAAGTATGTTTTGAAATGAAAATGCAGTTTCTATTTATGAAATAAATACAGATATTCTAGGATATTTATCCTAGTGCTTTATCTAGGAAATATTCCAGAAACTATAGCTTATTGTTTTGTTTTGGGGGGCCACATCCAGCGATGCTCAGGGCTAACTCCTAGCTCTGAGCCAAGGGATAAGTTCTGACAGGTTCTGGAGTATCGGGGATTGAACTTAAGTCATCCACGTGCAAGGCAAATACCCTACCCACTGTAATATTGCTCGAGCCCCACAACTACCTTTTTTTTTTAATAATTAAGTTTATGAAAGCCTAAATAGCCTAACAGGAGAGCCTGGCAAGCTACCCTTGACGTATTCGATATACCAAAAACAGTGACAGTAGCAGGTCTCATTCTCCTGATCCTGAAAGAGCCTCCAATCGTTGGGAAAGACGAGTAAAGAGAGGTTGCTAAAATCTCAGGGCTGGGACGAATGGAGACGTCACTGGTGCTCACTTGAGTAAACTGATGAACAATGGGATGACAGTGATACAGTGAAGTGGCCTAAAGTTCTGCTAACCTCTTGATGTTCTGATTACCTGTTTTACCTGCCAGAATAATTAAAGATTTCAACACTCATTTCCAAATTCCTTTAAGTATAAGAGAATGTTGCTTTATAACTATCAAGTTATTTCTGGATATATATATCTAAAAATAGTGTGTTCAGTATATTGACAGTGCAGAGATGAGCATTTATCAGAAAGCAAAGGGAAACTAAGAATACTGGTATTTCTCTCCAGATGAAAACCATTCAGAGTTAAATAAACCACTATAGATAGAGGTCATTGCTAATTCAAAAGTAACAAACTTGGAATTCCCAGACAAGCAAAGGAAACAAATGCTTTTTGTTTTGTTTTGTTTTGTTGGTTTTTGGGTCACACCTGGCAATGCACAGGGGCTACTCCTGGCTCATGCACTCAGGAGTTACTCCTGGTGGAGCTCAGGGGACCATATGGGATGCTAGGAATCGAACCTGGGTCGACTGCGTGCAAGGCAAACGCCCTACCTGCTGTACTATTGCTCCAACCCCGGAAACAAATGCTTTTTAAATTCCCACTTGCACTTGGTGCAGTCCTAGATTCCTTTACAATTCCTATTCAGTACTCACAGAATCCTTGTAAGTTCGCATCCTCATTGAATAGGAGAGAAGACAGGTCTCAGGGTATGATGGTTCTCACAAGAACTCTCAGTGTAGGCATCCTTGATTCCAGAGTCTTTTTCCCTCAGGGAGTACCTGACCAGTGGAAAAGATAAATCTATATAAAAATTTTGAAAACAGGGGTGGAATGATAATACAGTGGGTAGGGCGCTTGCCTTGCGCATGGCCAACCCTGGTTCATTCACCAGCATCCCATATGGTACCCACAAAGGTCTGCCAGGAGTGATCCCTCAATGCAGAGTCAGCAATAACCTCTGAGCATTGCCAGGTCTGGCCCAAAAACAAAAAGAAAAATCTCTAAAAACATAGGACAGTGAACATTGAATGCCAGTGAGCACTTTGAAATTCTAGACAAGTTGAAATAAGAGAGAGGTTGTTGTGGCCAAATCTGCAGGGAAGGGATTATAAAGGGAAGATCTTTAGTGATCTTTGAACTAGGGGAGGATTATAGCTAAAATGTGAAAACAACATTCACCAGGAGAGCACTGAATCGCAGGAGAACTAGCAGGTAGTTAGTCTTATCTACAAGATAGGATAAGACAGGCAATATTGGGTTGAAGAGTTCCCGTTACTTTGAGTTTTGAGTTCCAGACTCAAATCCCTGCCTCGGAAATTTGCCAGCTCCATGATCTTGGGAATTTACTTTGCATGTTTATTTTTCTTTTTCTTTTCTTTCTTTTTCCTCTCTTTTTTGTAATTGAGGCAACATAGTTACAATAGTGTTGACATTTAGGCTTTGGGAGAAGAAAGTTATTGTACCTGCACCACCACTAAAATGCCAAAGACCCTCCATCACTGTCCTTATGTCATTTCCAAACTGCCTCTTCCTTTCTCCCCACCAAGCTCCCTCCCTTCAAGCCTCTGCCCCCATCACTTGATAATTTCAGTGCTGTGGTCAAAGTTCAAGGGTTTGTTATCATCAGATACTGTCCATTCTTAGCATTGTTTCTTTATATACTCATTTGAATAAGACCATCCCACTGACTTATTTGTCTTTTTGTTTAGTTTTGGGGGTCACACTCAGCTGTGCTTAGAGCTTGCTCTTGGCTTTGTGCTCAGAGATTACTTCTAGAGGGCTTGGGAGACCATATGGGGTACCGGGGATTGAACCTCAATCAGACACATGCAAGGGAAGCACTGTATCCATTGTACTGTCTCTCCAACACCTTATTTTTTTGTCTTAACATGGCACCTTTTATCTCCATCAACATTGTAACAAAAGACAGTGTTTCATCTTTCCTTATAATGGTGTGTATATGCCATCATTTACCTGTTCATCTATCACTGGACATTTGAGCCGTTTGCATATCTTTGCTATTAAATAGCACTGCAATGAACAAAGGTGTGCATGTATCTTGTCCTATTAGTGTTTTGATAAGTATCAGGGAGTAGAATCTCTGAGTCATATGAGAGATATATTTTTAATTTTTTGAGAAGGCTCTACAGCGTTTTCTTAGTGGACAAATAGAGGGCATTCCCAGCAACAGTGAATGAGAGCTCCTTTTTTTTAACCACATCCTTTTTGACCCTGCCAACACTAGTTGTTTTCAGTCTTTTGATATGTGCCACTCTTGGTGACACCACTGAGATGTCATGTCATTATCATGCAAATTTGTATTTCCCTGATAGTAAGTGATGAGGAACTCTGTCACTTTCTTACTGGTTATCCTGAGTTTCTCTTTTTGTTTTTTTTTTTTCTTTTTGGGTCACACCCGGCAATGCTCTCAGGGGTTACTCCTGGCTCTGCACTCAGAAATTACTCCTGGCGGTGCTTGGGGGACCATATGGGATGCTGGGAATCGAACCTGGGTCAGCTGCATGCAAGGCAAATGCCCAAACTGCTGTGCTATCACTCCAACCTCTATCCTGAGTTTCTATTGCTGTCTAAAATCTTTTTAGGTTAATTTACTCCCATTTCTTATTTTTGGTTGTTTTGTTTTATTTTTTTTTCCCCCAGTGGACTCAAATCATCAAACACACTTCAAGTCTGTACAGCAGACCATCACACCTATAATTTCCTCTATGAATTTTATGAATTCAGATGTAATCTCAAAGTCATGAATTCATTTTTCCACCAACAGCACACTGTCTATTTTGAGTCCCTTTAGCTCCCAATCTCTTTCTCAGGTCTAGTGATATGGGGTTGTCCTGGATGATGCTCAGTTGACCTTGCATATTAGGGATCAATCCCAGACTTCCTGCATGCAAAGCATGCACTCAGCCCACTGAACTATATTCCCAGAGTTTTAATAAGATCCCATTTTTAATAAGATCTCACATATAAATAATAATGTGATATTTGTCCGTGATTAACCTTTCACTTAGCATAATGCCCCCAAGATATATCCATGCCATAAGTGGCAGGGTTTCCTTCTTTTTATGGGTGATTAACATACCTCTGAGTGTGTGCTTGTGTATGGTTGTGTATGTGTGTGCATGTTAAATTTTCTTTATCCATTTATGATGGATGGTCATGGTCCTCCCATTGTTCATCGATTTGCTCGAGTGGGCCCCAGTAACATCTCCATCATGAGACTTGTTGTTACTGTGTTTGGCATATCGAATACATCACGGCTAGCTTGCCAGGCTCTGCCATGTGGGCGAGATACTCTCGGTAGCTTGCCAGGCTCTCCGAGAGGGGCGGAGGAATCGAACTCGGGTCGGCCATGTTGGCCGCTTGTAAGGCAAACGCCCTACCGACTGTGCTATCGCTCCAGCCCTTATGATGGACATGTACATTATTTCAATACCTTGGTTATTATAAATAATGCTGCAGTGAACATTTCTGCCCAGAGTAGTGGAAATGCTGGATTATATATAGGCAGCGCTATTTTAACTTGTTTCATTTTCAAAAACCTACAGTTGTTTTCCATTCCCACCAACAATGCACAAGAGTTTTCTTTTCTCTATTCTCAGTTCTCCCTTGTCTTTTTCATAATAGCTTTTGTTACAGGTGTGAGAAATTGCATTGTGGTTTTGATTTGCGTGTCTCTAACGGTTAGTCATGTTGAATACTTTCTTATACTTTTTCATGTCCTGTTTGCCATTTGAATGTCCATTTTGGAAAAATGTCTGAGACAGAGGATAAGAGTTCAGGCATTGGCCTTGCATCCAACTAACCCTCATTCAAATCACTAGCACCACATTTTGTCCCCCAAGTATAGCCAGGGCTCACTCCTGAGCACATAACCCCTAGCAGAAAAAAAGAAAGAAAATAAAAATGTTCAGTTCCCCTGTTCATTTTTTTTTCTAAAGCACCATGATTTACAAAGCTATTCATAGTTGGATTGTAGACATACAATACTGCAGCAAATTCCCACCACTAGGATCAACTTCCCTCCACCAATGTTCCCAGGTTCCCTCCATATCTCCCCCTCTCCAGCCTGCTGTCTTGACAAGCACCTTTCCAAGTTTGGTTGTTGTTAAAGTTTGCGTCTCTTGATTTCAGTGTTGACTCTGTGGTTTGGATATCTGGCTCTATCATTCCTTACACCATCTGTTTAAAAAAAAATTCCACTTTATTTAAACAAACATTGCAAAGTTTACAAAGGTGTTCATGATGTAGTTGTTACATATTCCATGATGCAGTTGCTACATATTCCATGATGCAGTTACTACATATTCCATGATGCAGTTGTTACAAAGGTGTTCATGATGCAGTTGTTACATATTCCATGATGCAGTTGCTACATATTCCATGATGCAGTTGCTACATATTCCATGATGCAGTTGTTACAAAGGTGTTCATGATGCAGTTGTTACATATTCCATGATGCAGTTGCTACATATTCCATGATGCAGTTGTTACAAAGGTGTTCATGATGCAGTTGTTACATATTCCATGATGCAGTTGCTACATATTCCATGATGCAGTTGTTACAAAGGTGTTCATGATGCAGTTGTTACATATTCCAATCCCAACCCCACCACCACTGTGACTTTCCCTCCATTGTCCCCATTTTCCCAACTCCCCCTGAAACCTGCTCCTGTAGCAGACCCAAAGTAATTTATTGTATATTGCTTCTTACCCTAAATGGCTAATGGAATTATCAAAAAATACTTCAGTAAAGGAAAATTTGTGAAAAGTGTTATATCTCATCATGGGGCGGATTTACCAAGCTGTTGTTGCTAGTTGAGCCTTCTGTGTTAATGTTTTTATTAATCGAACTTAGTTGGTGTCTATATTACATTCCTCTTCAATCTGATATGTTCCTACTGGGATGTTAGTATTGTAGAGTTTGGAGATGTCGCTTCAGAAAATTCAGAACACTTAACTGGGCAGTAGGGGCTGGAGCGATAGCACAGCGGTAGGGCATTTGCCTTACAAGCAGCCAACATGGCCGACCCGAGTTCGATTCCTCTGCCCCTCTCGGAGAGCCCAGCAAGCTACCGAGAGTATTTCACCCGCACGGCAGAGCCTGGCAAGCTGCCCGTGACGTATTCAATATGCCAAACACAGTAACAACAAGTCTCATGATGGAGATGTTACTAGGCCCGCTCAAGCAAATCGATGAACAATGGGAGGACCGTGACCGTGATAACTGGGCAGTGAGCTTGCATGTGGGCAGCTCTGGTGGAATGTGGGTGTGTTGGCCAGGGCTTCTGAAGTAAGGGGTGGATGTGGGGATAGAAACGATTTCTCCCACCACCACTCCGTGAAGGCCCAGAGTTTTCAGCCAAAAAAATCCCCTGGTGTACCTGAAATTTTCACCAGTTTGGTATCTCTGTGAAGCTCAGTTGTGAGGTGGTGGGGTTTTGCTGTAGGCATGGCAGTAACTGTTGGAGTGTGAGTGCAGTTGCCAGGGCTTTGGCAGGGTAGGAGCTTGGCCTGCCCGGCTTCTGAGATTACCCTGAAGATCTCAGCCTGGGATGGCATATCAGAGGAATTTTTGCTGCTAGCTGATCTCTTTCAAGATTTCATCAGGAGTCTCTGGAGCAGGGCAGATAGATGAGCTTCCATGGGGTGGGTGTGGCTGCTGGGCCTTTCAGAAGTACTGGAGGGGAGGGGGTAGCCTATCCTCTTTCAGAGAAGGCCCAGAGTTTTCAGCCAAAGGATACCTGCATAACACCACCTTTGCACTTTAATCCCTTGAACTGGACCCTGTTGCTTCTCATCTGTCCCTACTTCCCCACCCCTTCACTATTCCCTTTTTTTTTTTTAAGACTGATTTGGTTTTTGGTTTTATGCTACTGAGTTGTATGAGTTTATATATATATATATATATATATATATATATATATTTTGGATATTAACTCCAAGTCCTGTTGTGTTTTTGCAATTTTACTATGGTAGAATATTAGTGTTCTTGTAGTTTGCTATTATAAATAATATTACCATACTTGCCTTCCAAAGTATTAAAATTTCTAATGTTTAATGTTTGTATTTATGAAAGTGGCATTATTTTATCAAAGATGCATTCTAAAGCCCCTATTTTATAAGACCAAATTTCTTTCAAGGAGCTATTTGCTCTTCTATCAACTGTCATTTTTAAGGGAAGACTATCAGTGGTCTTTCTTAATTTATCCATTTTAATTTTGCAGAAAGCGTTTTACATCAGAAACATTAGAATAATAGACAGCATGAAAATGTCTTTGGGGTAGAGAGGAAAATATTAAATCACACAATAAAGTTGAAGGGAAGTGCTTCAGGGTAAATGAACATTTGTTTCCACGAGTAATATGTAACATCTTAGGGCAGAACACAGGGAACTGGAAAAATTAACTGTGTCCAAATCTAAGGTTTCTGAAGAACAGACCATCTCTGAGGTCCCCTTCAGCTCTGCATTCTGCAATTGTCTTTAAATAGTCAAGATTCAAGTAACTGTCTCTGGATATGCAGGGAAAGAGCAGGGACAAAGTCCAGACATGGTTTTTCAGTCTTCTTAAAGGATTGAAAGAAGCCAGCTAGAGCCCATTCATCTTAGCTTGCTTTTCTGCCTAAAATTAATCCCCAACTTAGCCCCCAACTCTGTCCTTATACTCTGCCCACTCACCTTCTCAAAGCTATGCAGATGCCTTTATACTCCATTCCTCAGCAGGACCACTATCCCAAACTGGGGTGCATCTTAGTAATTCCCTATCAGGAAAGAGATTTCTGCCTCTTGGCTTTGCAGTGGAGACTTCAGCAGGATTCCTTCCCAGCAGTGAGCCTTTGGTGAACTTAGCAAAGCAACTTCTCTGCTTTCCTGGGTGTTGCTGGTAAGATTATTAGGAGAACAAGTCTCCGAGGGATGCATTTGCTTCCTATAAAGCAAAGGCAGCCCTTAATGTGCAGAGATCAGTTGCTGGGGGAAAGAGAAGAAATGAAGCAAAAAGCAACCAGGAGAGTAAAAAATTATCTTAATAAGCTTATGTCATGAGGTTTTTACTGCAGCAAGCCTCTCACTGTCTCTTTCAGGTGGCCTTAACTTGAACCCCTTAAAGTTTCTCGTTTTTGACTGGAACTGGAGAGATCAGAAGCTGAGGAGGATGATGGACATTCCCGAGGTACTGTGTAATCATCAGTTGCCTTTCATCTTTCCTCTTTTCAATTGGGACTTGAGTTCAAACACAGTAATAAAGCCTTTGACATGGAGAGCCAGCACATTCTAGGCTTTGAAATGATTTCTGTCTTTTAACTCTGAAGTAACTACAGTTATAGGGGCCATCTTATCCCTTGCACATAACTGTATCCTTTCCATGTGTCTTAGGGATTGGCTTTGTTTCTTCATTAAACACCCAGTGGCCTCTGCCCCACTGGCAACCACATCTATGCAGCACCTTTGATAAATAGGACAAGCTGGAGAACTTGGCACATTTTGTCTGCCTTTTTCTTTTTTAGAGACAAATCTTTGCTTTTCATCTTTATAAGTGCACTTGGAGGTGGGGGGCATACTTTCCCCATTGCCAGCGTCTCCATCCCTCCAAAAGACAAATTTACAGGACTATTTCGGCTTTTGTGGGTAGGCAAACTTTTTAATGACTCCATGGGATTAGTCTGATTAAATGGCTTTGTGGGCATGTCATTAAATTAGCTCATTATTTATGAAAGTGTCCATTGTCATCAGAATGTGAAAAATTCATTTGCCACCCACCTTGTTATAATGGGGCTACTGCTTAGAAGTAGCTGTTGGAGAGAAAAGGATTTGTATTGTAGTAAACATGGCCAGCATTCACTCAGAAGGAATGAATCGTGACCAAAACTATCAAAGAAGGTTGAAACTGCCCCTCCAAATATGCTGCATAAATTTAGACACCTCAATAAATGATGTCCCGAGAACAATCAAGTCTCTCTCCTCTCTGTCTCTCTATCTCTCTCTCTCAAATAATTTTATGTCAAATGTCAATCACATAAACTCATATTTGATTACCTCAGCTATAATGTTAAATCTGAGCAGTTTGTCGCTAGTATTCTAGTTGTAATAATAAGAAAGTGTATCAAAATAAAATTTTGTCACCTATAGTTATTTCTACTATGTTCATCTCATTATTATCAACAATCCTATATTGAAATATTGTATATAACTTAGGAATGTTGTGGACATAGTAAAACACTTCTATATAATTTTATAATGTTTTATTTTAAATGACTGCAAACAAAAGGCATTTAATGAAATTTGTGTTTTATAGAGTACCTCTTAAATAAATATACCTACTCTGAATTAAATGTGATTTTGATTATACCAGCCACATAAAGATCAAGTTCAAATAGTTCAAGTTATTTGCCAAAACCATTTCTTCTTAATGTTAACTGTTTTCTTTTTCTTTGTTGTTTTGTTTGTTTTGTTTTGTTTGCTTTTCTCTTATTTAGATAAAAAAGGAAGTTTTTGAGCTTCTGGAAATGGGAGTCCTCAGTCTGTGCAAGTCAGAATCTTTGAAGCTGGGTCTTTTCTAACTCTGGGTCCTACTGAATATTCCAGTTTTCATGTGTTATATTTCATTTAATGGCTCTGGTGCATTTCAGATACTCACTTCAGATCCGTTCTTATTTTACTCTCAACTGGATCATCGGATGATCATTGGGAATGTTTGATGGGAATTTGCGGGGGGAAAGACGAATTTGTCCTTTACCAACTCTTTGTATAATAAAGTATAATTGACTCTTATGTGCTTTTTACTGAGGTTTGTGTGTGTGTGTCTCTTCACAACTAGATGGTCTTTGATATTTCTGCAAAAGAGAAAATGTTGGGCAAACCTAGGCAAGCCCCTTGTATCTGTGGACCTCAGTTGTACCAGCTGTGTAAAGGGGATGATTTCTCACAGACTGCTAAGGATTCACTGTGATAGTGCATGTGGAACTTTTTTGTAAACTACAATAGCTTGTTCATGTTTAGAGGCAGTAGAAATAACAGGAAGAACTTTAAGTGCATGTGGCATTCTTTTAAAAGACTCAAAGGTAATGCTGAACAAGAGAGATAGTACAACAGGTAAGGTGTGTTCCCTGCATGCATCCCAACCCTATCAACCCTATTTTAATTCCTGGCTTTGCAGATGGTCCCTCCTGAGCATTGGAAAACACACACACACACACACACACACACACACACACACACACACACACACACCTACCTATAACTACAACTACCTTACTTGTTTTTTAACTTCTTATTTTGAAAAAACTTCAGAATTTATTTTAAGTTATAGGTCAAAGAGATAATTCAGTGGTCGACAACACATGCTTTTGCTGCAAGATGGCTTGGGTTCAGTACTTTGCATCACATGTCCCTGACCAGTGGCAGAAGCAACTCCCCAACACGAAGCTGAGAGTAGCCCTTGAGCACCACAGTATGTGGCCCCTCCAAAACTAATAATCATGGTCACGGTCCTCCTGTTGTTCATCGATTTGCTCAAGCGGGCCCAGTAACGTCTCCATTGGAGACTTTTGTTGTTACTATGTGGCATATCGAATACATCACAGGTAGCTTGCCAGGCTCTGCCGTGCAAGCAAAATACTCTCGGTAGCTTGCCAGGCTCTCCAAGAGGGGTGGAGGAATCGAACTCGGGTTGGCCATGTTGGCTGCATGCAAGGCAAACACCCTACCGCTGTGCTATTGCTAATAACAACAATAATTAAGGGTTTTTTTTTTTTATGTAGGAGTACTGCTATTTATTCAGTTAACTGGTTAGCTGATTGAATTGTGCATGAACTCCACCTTACTTTTTTTTTATTTTTTATAATTTTATTTATTGAATCACCGTGAGAGCAGTTACAAAGCTTTCGGGTCTAAGTCTCAGTCATACAATGAAACACCCGTACCTTCACCAGTGCCCATTCTCCACCCCCAACAACCCCAGTATACCCCCATCCCACACCCTCCCACTGCCTGTGGGGCAAATGATTTCCACATTACTCTCTCTCTGCTTTGATCACATTCAATATTTTGACACCAGACCCACCATTATTATTTGAGATTTTACCCCAACACTCAGATCTGCTGAAAAGGCAACAGTAGACAATTTGATTTCTATTGCTGGTTATGAATAACACATGATGTCGCATGGCTGCAGTAGTGGCTGCACAATTTTGAAATTCCAAAATTTTAACACTTAAATCTGGAGGGATTTCTGCCAGAACCTGCTGGGTTCCAAGGTTTGCTCCTGAGTCTCTGGGATCATGACCATTAAGCAGCTTGATCAGGAGCCAGAAAGGCTGTTTGTGAGCAATGGCTTGGGGTCTCGTTGGGGTGGGGAGGACAGGACCGGCTCCACCCCCATCCTGTGAGGCCCAAAATGTCTCATCACTGTGGGCCCAAACCTGACTGTCCAATGGCCTCTGGAGGATGGCACCCACCAGGCCACCAAGGGGAAGCAGGCGGAGGGACAGCACCCTTTCCCCACTGTGGTGGCCCTGCGACAGTAACCTACTGCAGGGTCCAGAGACATTTCTGCCAAAAGCCACTGGATTTTGAGATTTGTTTCTGAGTCTCTGGGATCATGGCCGTTAAGCAGCTTGATCAGGAGCCAGAGAGGCCGTTCATGGGTGATGACTTGGGGTCTCGTTGGGGTGGGGAGGACAGGACCGGCCCCACCCCCATCCCATGAGGCCCTGCGTGTCTCGTCACTGCAGGCCCAAATCTGACTGTCCAATGGCCTCTGAAGGATGATGGCCACCAAGCCGCCAGGGGGAAGCAGGCAGAGGGACAACATCCTTTCCCTCCTGGGGTGGCCCGGCAACAGTAACCTACTGTGGGGTCCGGACGCATTTCTGCCAAAAGCCGCTGGGTTTCGAGATTTGTTTCTGAGTCTCTGGGATCATGGCTGTTAAGCAGCTTGATCAGAAGCCAGAGAGGCCATTCGTGGACGATGACTTGGGGTCTCGTTGGAATGGGGAAGACGGGACCGGCTCCACCCCCATCCCATGAGGCCCAACAAGTTTTGTCACTGCGGGCCCAAACCTGACTGTCCAGTGGCCTCTGGAGGATGGCGGCCACAGGGCCACCAGGGGGAACAGGCCAAGGCATGAAACCTATTCCCACCTGGTTTGGCCCAGCACAGGTAACCTACTGCAGGGACCGGACGCATTTCTGCCAAAAGCTGCTGGGTTTAGAGATTTGTCTCTTAGTCCCTAGGATTATGGCCATTAAGCAGTTCAATCAGGAACCAGAGAGGCCATGCCTCCAATTATATAGCTGAGCCGGAGGTGGTTTGTGGGTGTGTTTCCCACATACCTAACTTTTGGCCGTTTACTTTCTTGGTAAACTTTGCCCCAAGTTTTTGGGATTTGGCCAATGGCACAGAAGCAATTTTGGGGTATCTGGAAGTCTGAAGGCGCCATCAGGCTGCTGATGCACTCACCTCACAGGTACAGATTGACCTGCTGGCGGCACCATACCCCCTTATGGGTTTTTTTTTAGTTGTAAAAATAATACAGAGATTTCCCATGTCTGCTTTTTCAAGTTACCCTAAGTGTTACCATCTTATATAATTTTGAAATTCACCAGTCTTTCCACTGATGCCCATTTTTCTGTCCAGGATCCAATATTGGAGAGAGGTATCATATCTGCTTTATTTCCTTGAAGCAATGAGAGTTCCTCAGTCTTTCCTTGCCTTTCATTGGCTTGACCTCTTCAGGTGTCAGAGACTACTACTCCATTTAAGTATGTCTATTGTTTTCTCATTGATTGAGATTTTGCACTTCGAAACCAAGAACCAGCAGACACAATGTGTCCTTGTGGCATCATCTCAGGGAATATGAAATATTGGTGTATCTTACTCTGGGGTACATCAATCTAAATACCCTATTTGAAAATTGACTGATTTTCTCCATTGTGTAATACTGTCTTTTCATTTACAGTTAATTTATACCTTGGAGAAAATACTTTGAGGACTCTGTGAATATTTAGTTTTTCCTCATAGTTTACCCACGAATTTTATTTATTATTTTAATTGTGGGGACCACACCTGGCTGTGATCAATGCTTACTCCTGACTATTTTCAGCGATCACTCCTGGCAGTTGCTTGGGGTACCATATAAAATGCAGAGAATTGAACTGGGGTCAGTCTCATGCAGGGTAAGTGCCTCAACCCTGTACTCCCTCTCCAAGCCCTAGCCTACTCCTCTTGCACCATCTGTATTTCTTATGGGCAACGTTATTACTGCTGTGATTTATCTTTTTTTCTCACTGCTTCTACAATTTCTAAAAATAGAATTCTTAAAGAAAGAGCAGTCTGGGTAAGAGATTTGGCCCAAGTGGTAGAATATATATCTCACATATGTAAGGAACTTGATAAAACCTCTAGCCCTGGTGACACTACTGAGTATGACCTACAATAACAAAAAAGAAAGAGCTGTCTCTTCCCCCACCCCATCCTGTTATTGACATGTTTATTCAATTAGAGTAATGAAAATCTGTGGATAGTTCTTTCATTTTATAAAGTATGTGGATTAAAGAAGGTTCTACATTTTGTGAGAGTAGAAAATGTCTTCACGTGACATGGTCATCTTACAGGCTGTTGAAGTTCAACAAAAGAATTACTTTTGTCTTGTGAAGATGTGGATAGCAAAAAGAAGAAGAAGAAGAAGAAGAAGAAGAAGAAGAAGAAGAAGAAGAAGAAGAAGAAGAAGAAGAAGAAGAAGAAGAAGAAGAGGAGAAGGAGGAGGAGGAGGAGGAGGAAGAAGAGGAAGAGGAAGAAGGAGGAGGAAGAGGAAGAAGGAGGAGGAGGAAAAGAAGGAGAAGAAGAAGAAGAAGAAGGAGGAGGAGGAGGAGGAGGAGGAGGAGGAGGAGAAGGTCTTCATAGTCTTCAGTCCAAACCTATCCCTGTCATGTTAATGAGTTGCTAGAAACAGCATAAGATAAAGCTTTGACTGTGTCCTACAACTGTAAGAGTAGGGAATTTTAGAATAAGAAATTAAAAGAAACTGGAGAGGTGGTACAGGGAGTTACAGAGCTTGCCTTGCACATGGCAAACCCTGGTAGATTCCGTGGAACCACTTATGTTCCCCCCAAACACCACCAGCGTGAGCCCTGAGCACAGCCTGGAATAGCCCTGAACATTGCTAGGTGTGCTCCTCTGCCCACACACTAAAAAAAAAAAAGAGAGAGAGAGACAAATAATTTCTGATTCTTACATCTTCACAAGCGCAGATAGCTCTGACCAAATTAATTCTGAAACTCAAGGAATTATTAAAGTTATAAAGTTTTTCTAGCACAGCGGGTAGGGCGTTTGCCTTGCACGCAGCCAACATGGCCGACCCCAGTTCGATTCCTCCGCCCCTCTCGGAGAGCCCGGCAAGCTACCAAGAGTATTCGATATGCCAGACACAGTAACAACAAAGTCTCCAATGGAGACGTTACTGGGCCCGCTCGAGCAAATCGACAATCAACGGGAGGGCCTTTACCTTTTTACCTTTTACCACTTAACTAGATAGAAATCAAGCTATTTAACTAAAAATGTTAAATATTTTTAACTATTTTCTTTATGTTGTTAAGAAAAACATTTTCTTTCTGGAGTTCGTGGGTGGGGGGTGGGGGGGGAAGCATCCAGCAGTGCTCAGATCTTACTCCTGGTAGTGTTTGAAGGAGTATATATGATGGTGGGGATCAAACCCCCATTTTCTTTCTGAACATGTAATTTACCTATATCAACTAAGCAACATTTCCAAGAACAGGACTGGTCACTCAGAGGAATCTGATATTAGGCTCCCAGGTCTGTGTGCCTTGGTATGGCTCCAAGTAACCTCTTTTTAAAAATTCTCTATTATCAAATTCTGAATTAATTTCTTAGCAGTGAATATTTCACTCCAGTTATAACCCAAGACTGTTGGGTTTTGGGGGGCGGGGGTTGGATTTTCTGGTTTGTTTGTT